AATCCTAAAGGTTCATAAAGTCTGGCAATTGTCGATAAAATGTCTCTTTTAGTATATGATGATTTCTCCTTGATTGAGTCTTTAAAGCTGAATTCATCCTTCTGAGAATTCCATGTAATATCTAAAGCTTTAACCACATTATCACTTTTGGAGGAGAATGGAAGCTCAGAGCTTGTAGAAGGGCTATTCAACAGTTCAGGAGAATTAGAGTTCCATTTGTGCAAAGTCATTCCACAACTATGAAAAAGCTGTATAAGCTGATTTTTCAATTCCCTTGCCGAGTCTAAGTTTGATGAACCAGAGAGATGACATCATAAACATAACAGTCTGACAAGACAGCTTTGGCAGCTTCAGGATATTTGTGCATTTCGTCATATGCAACTTGCTTTATGCATCTAATGGCTAAAAATGGAGCACTTTTAGTACCATAAGTCACCGTTTTGAGTCTATATGTCACAGGTGAGTCGCTAAGGTTTCTCTTCCATAAGATTCGAAGTAAGTCTCTTTGGGATTCATCAACCAAAATTTGACGGTACATTTTTGTATATCCGCAATAACTGCAACTTGATGTTTTCGAAATCTCACAAGAGTATCAAAAGTATCTTCTTGGACTGCTCCCGCTAAAAGTAAATCATTCAAACTTAATCCATTTGAGCTTGGGGCACTAGCATTAAACACAACTCTTAATTTTGTACTTGACTTCTCTGGTCTATATACTCCATGATGGGGGGGGGAGGTAATATTCAAGTTCCGGTTTTGAATTATCATCGACCCTTTCCATATTGTCCAAATTTTCATATTCTGTTATGAAATCTTGAATATAAATGTTGCAATGTAGCGTTTTTGCTAAGACGTTTAACTAATTGATTGAAGTCTAATGTTGGCTAAGTGCTTTTTGAATTTCCTAATTGTTCGTCTTTCATAGGCATTTTTACGATAAATCTGCCATCTTCATTTCGTCTGTAAGTGTCTTTGAAATGTTGTTCACAGAATTCTTCTTCTTGGCTAAGCATTGGCCTTTCTTCACCAATATTTTCCACTAACCAAAATTTTTCTACTAATCTATGAATATTATCAACATTACCGATAAGTCCAAAATAATTCTGACAATTTTCAAAGGATGTTTTCAAAGAACCAGTAGCTACATAACCAAACACAGAATTTCTGAAAACGAGTGATTTCGTAGAAGATTTAACTTGGCCATTAATAAAAATGTCATAAAATAATTCTGCTCCTAAAAGCAGATCTGGAGTTGCAAATTCTGGATCAGCTAAACTTGATGTATTAGGAATATCTATATTTTCAATATTTAATTTTGTAGAAGGTACTAAATCTGTGATTTTATTTACAACTAAAAAATTTAATGAAGCAGAGAACGAATTATTTCCGTTAAGAATAGAAGCAAAAGTACGAGATTTAATGTTTGAAATTTTCCCATTTAAACTAGAAACGGAAATATTTATTCTTTCCTTTTTTTAAATTTGCACGCTCACAGAATTCATTTGTAGCAAAATTTGGCATTGAGCCGGAATCAAGAATTGTTCTTGCTTTAACGAATTGGCCATAAATATTTCTGACTCAAACAATCGCAGTTGAAAGGAGAACAGTTTTATTTTTCGAAAAAAGACACGCCGATAAGGCTTTTTCTGTTTATTTATTGCTATTCAAAACAGCCTCATTTTTGCAGTTCTCTGGGGCGTTCCATTGGATTTAATGCTAGAAATGTTTCGCATTTAAAAATTACGTGATTATCTTTGCAAACCGGGGGGGACACATAAATTTATTATTATTATTCGTTTTTGTCACTAACGATCGAACTTTATTTGGAGGAATGTCCTGCTTTGTTTTTGCAAATACAGTTTTGTTTTGCATATTTTCTAATATCTGGCATCGCTTTTGAAGAGATGTCATGAAAAATTCCCGTTCACATAAATCATTACTATTTAATGACATTTCAAATTGCTTACGCGATTCTTTATCTATTTTATTAAGAATAATATTAATCAGCAAAGCTTCGCTTAATTTATCCATATTTAATTCCATAACTTTTAATGCTCTTAAATGTTTCTGAACTTTATCAATTAATGAGCGTAAATCTTTAGGATTTTCATGAACTATTTTTCAATAGAAAGTAATTCATTGATATGAGAATTTAGAACCAGTCCCTTATTATCATATTTTCTTCAAGTGCCTTAAATAAGGAAGAAAATGTATCATCTATTGTTTGTATCTGCTTTGCATCACCAATTAAACAAGATTGTAAAATAAACAATTTCTGAGAATCCGTTAATTGTCTATTAGATGAAATTAAAGCTACAAAATTGGTTTTTAAAAAATAAATTCCAGTCTTCAAAATTGCCAGAAAAATTTAGGTAATGTTATTTCAGGCAATTTATAATTCAATGAATTACTTCTTGGTTTCTGGTAAACTATTATTTGCATACTCATTATTTGCATTCTTACTACATAATGAAGTATAAAGACATTTCAGGCTTACCTGAACATTGGTAATATCTATCTCGATTTCTTCAAAAGTAGCTTCGATGTCTGATATTTCTTCATCTTTTGCACACTTTGTAATAATCCAAGCTAAGTTCATCAGTTTGTTTATTTAACTTGTGCACTTTTTCTTGCAATACTTCTATTTGTTCGAAACCAAAATCATCACTTTTTCCACTGACAGACGACTTTAACTTCGCAATTTGAGCTCTAATACCACCACGTTTTCTATTCAACGTAGTTATGTCTTCATTAGCCATTTTTTATTCGAATTAGCTCCGTATGGTTTGAGGTCGCTGGTTAGACTGTATACTAAAGACAACTTTACAACAACAACAACAATTTTATTTCGTGGATCATAACTAAAATGCTAAATCGAAAATGATAAATACGTGATCCCGACCATACGGGATCAAAACACGTATGCTACGCTAGGAGTTCGAATCTTAACTAACTAAAATTGCGCAGAAACAATGCGCTGTACATAACTTATATTGCCGCGTAGGAGGTAACACCCCATTTTTCTCTAGGACGCGAGCGGTTGTTATAACTGAGTTAAGTAAAATAAACAAATATCTGCTACATAAAGTTGAAATTCGCCAACATACTGCGACACAAATACTTCTAGACTTTATATGGCGCCTTTGGCACTGAATGAAATAAAAGCAAACGTAGGAATTAAAAAAAAAACACTAAATGTTATACATATTCCGCTATTGATAAAATTCGGCAATCGCCATCTGCATCTGCAGTGACTACGTAGGGTGTCTTAAAAGGTCGTTTCCAAACTTACCATGCTTGTCTGTCATGCCATGGGAAAGAAGATTTACGTAGGAACTTGTATCCGAAAAACGAACGTGTGCGAACGGCGACCGCTAGAGGGCAATGTTCGCAAGCATGGAGGGAAAGAAAGGATGTCAAAAGAGGTGTTATGTGACTTTTATTAAAGAATATAGTTAAATCAGAGAAGATATTCAAAACTCCTTCCATTCGTCACAATAAAGGCTTCACAACATCGACGCATGGATTGACGGACTCTTTCAAAATGCGCAGGCGTGTCAAGGACACGTGCCGCCGTTTCCAAGATCCTGACGACGATATGCATGTCCGATGTTACAGTCGTCTCGTACACCATGGACTTCACGCATTCCTACAGATAGAAATCCAGGCGAGTCAGGTCGGGAGATTACGGTGGCCATGCGACTGGTCTGCCTCTGCCATTCCAGCGTTCAAAATATATCCTGTCGAGGTATTCTCGGACAGTGCTGCTAAAATGTGTAGGCGTTCCATCATACTGAAACCAGATGTTTCGGCGTGTAGCTGCTGGAACGTCAACCGTGAAATCCGGCAACACTCTTTTCACAAAATGTCTATAAAGAATTGAGTTAGTAAACCGGTTCATCCTTCTTCTGGAACGTCATCGCCTGAGATGATCACACTTCCCAATCTTCCATAAGCCCGCGAACATTGTCCCGTAGCGGTCGCCGTTAGCATTTTCACACAATTTCCTATGTACGTCTTGTTTGTCAAGGTATGACAGACCAGCATGTTAAGTTTAGCAACGACTTTTGAGAAATCCTGTATGAATGCTGAAAATGTGCCGTAGGGCTCTGATCATTTCTCTCCTCAGTACTTTATTAATTCAGTAAAATTACCCTTGCAATAAAATGGTATCTCCTACAGTTTTGAGACAGATTTTATCATGTTTAGTATATTATTATAAATCCTAAATGGCATTTTGAGGAGGCCACGCGGTCTCCTGGACATCTCCCGGGTAGGCTTGTTAGGGGGAGAAGCATAAGAAAGATGATCTTTTGCACAATAAATGCACCGGAAAGAATTGAAGCAGTCTAGCTGTCTGAATCCTAAACGCTGGCATCAGAAGCACTTCCTGGCTTTGTAGGATGTAACCCTAATTCTCAAATGGAATAAAAATCGTAACTTGAAGGGAAAAAAGTTCAAAATCCCACAAGTTTTTATATTTTATTATGCTCCATATAGTCTCGATACAGTCACGTGTTTGACGTTGAAATTTCAAATCAATGAAAAGCTAATTCTGTCGCACGTGCATTTTTGAATATTGTAAAAATTCTTAGCAAGTTTCCTGGCAATAAATGAGGTTTATTTTTATTATAATTATCTCTTCTTTACTATAATAGTGTTCGTTTTCTTGATTACATTTGAAATACGCCGTACATGGTTTTATGACTCGTTTCCTTAATATTAAAAAATAGGCTTTCAAAAATTTGTGTTTAACGGAAGGAAAGGCTGTAACTTAACGTGGCTTTCAAAGAATAAATATTCGTTAGCATTTGCATCAATTAATTCTATTAGCCTATATCGATAAAGGAGTTGTGTAATGTCATAATCTTCTTGTGGGTTAATTATCGAGAGTTTTTAAGCACTATGAGTCAGTTCAAGGAAGAAATCCACGAGTACATAGTAAAACATAAAATTGTGGAACTTTTGACCCATTTATCGGAGATGGTTTTCTTTTTCAGGCCAGATGATCCAATTCCCTTTCTTGCAAATGCCTTGTTAGACATAAAGTTAGCTATGGAAACTGGAAAGTTCACATCTCTCCTGCATTCCGAAGAGTCATTAAGAGCGTATTTTAGACTTTTGGACCCAGAAGGAGAAGGATCCATAACTTGGAAACAGATGAAATCTGCCCTAGCCGTTCTAGGAGCTAAGGATCATGCAATATCTCCTGTCGATTATCAAGGACCTGTATTTGAAGAAATGTTTGTGGATTTGGGAAAGTATTTTTTATTACGGAGGCTGAAACCTTAAAAGCTTGTACTTTATTATGTATTTGCAAAGTATTTACTCGTAATATGTTGTTATAGATACATTTTTTGTATTGCTTTGGTATATTTAAAAGTGCTTTTTAAAATTTTTTTTCTACTAACAGAGAACTCCAAATAAAGTTATTAAGAACAACACCAGATTTTAAAATGAGAAATGATGTCGTTAACTAATGATGTCGTGACAGTATGTGTTTTAAATTTTGAATGCTCTCCTCTACGGTTGTTAGTAGGAAAATGAGCTTATTAACAGTCCAACAAGAAGACGGATCACTTTATTAACAGCCGAATCAGAAGGCTAACAGCTGGTTACGATCAAGATATTCGTAATATTATACTCTATATTTTATGTTTTATACATCAAATCTATTGTTACGTTTCGTCATCGCTCTCAAAATTTAGTTTCTGTTAATGCGTATATTACAAAATAAGAGAAAATGCACACAAAATTTGGGCATTGTTTAATTTTAAAACAGAACTGAGAAAACCTCGAAAGACTAATAATTAAAAAAAAAAAAAATTCAAATTTAGAAATTGTGATCTACTTCAATGCGTTTAATAAATTCCATTCCGAATTTTAGCAGCTTCTTAAGTAATCGACAAAGAAATTAACGTCCGAATAAGAACTTAAAACTAGCAATTTTTTTTTCAAAATATTTAGCACGAATTTAGTAACAAAATAATTTATTAAGAATTAATAAACTCATCAATAATTAAATTAATTTTTTGATCAAATTGAACGAAATATTGAATCAGGATTTCTGAAAAAGGTATAACAGATGCATGACGTGAAAAATATAGTATAAGGTGCCTTATAGCACCTTTTATATCGAGATCGATGAAATTACAAGTTGCATTATACTGTTCATTTTATTTAGTTTTAGTTTCTCAGTACTTTTTACATATAAAAAATTATTACCATTTGAGCTAAGAAAGTTCAAGCGTGCATATGTGTTTCATACACTGATATTACTCAGCAAAATATATATCATTCTCTTTTATGATGCTGTGCTACATTTGAGCCAATATCATAAAACTGTATCAGGATCTGGCTTCCAGTTTTGAGAACAAAAGTCACGGATTCTTTTTCCTGAATCTTCTACCAATTTGAGTCACTTGCCTCTGGAAAAATTGGCTTTGGATCCGAAAGAGAAGAAGATAATCGAAAGAGCAAAGAGCGAGTCATACAAGGGATGAGGTAAAATATTTAATTTTTTGACGACCACTGTCACTGATATAAAATGGCATTAATGCTTTCTCTCTTGATTAGTGCCTATTTGCGGCACAAAATATGTGGAAATTGTTGTACTTCTTGTTAGGGGGAAGTTCCTAATGCAATGGATAATCCAGATTTCATTAACTAATTAAAAAAATCACTTCCATTCAAACAATAATTGAAATAAATTACTTTTTATATACTATCTGAGAAATAATTAAAAGTAATAATAAATAAAATAAATAAGTAATTGTTTGAGAAATGCTGTTAACTGAAATTATAAACAAATAATTTGTTATAATAGTGGCAGTCTAACATGATTTTTATTTACGTAAAGCCATTTTTATAGCCTTTGGTAACAGTCTACTAGTATCAAGAAAATATAAAATAGCAGAACCTTTAAGATCTATGCTATATTCTAATGAAGCGATTCATACTGATTTGTGTATCTGACAGGAAATATAAATATTTGTATTAAATCTGTTAGAAATCGATAGAAAGTTTTTACTCATCCTGAAGTGTTATTGGGCAGCATAATTTTTCCTTGATTAGAGTAATTTCTGTACGATGAAGGGCACCGTCTCCTCTCGTGTGGATTCGTGGTAGGGGAAGAGGGGTGGAAGACCCTCGGATCCACTCCCGGGGTGCTGTCCCAGAAGATTGGTGTGGAACTGGACAAAATCATACTGTCATCTATCTGGTGCTCAAGGCTGTTGCCAGAGGCAAACGTAATCTTGTACTTCTTGCCGCAATGAATTTTGTAGGCATGTTCTGATATCAGACGAGAAATTAGTCACAACATCAACACATTGCATTGTATGATATTACGTAACACTGTATGGTTTGAAAGAGGGTCGGTTTGAACGCCTAGCAAGCACCAGACCACTACACTGTATGGTATTACATTACACTGTATTATATTACATCTTATTGTTGGCTGCGTACGGGTTCGTCATGGATTGAATTCACACAGAACCGATGATATCTTGACAAGCTTTGTTTTCCCCAAAGAAAAACTTTACAGTTCTGGAACTTTCCACAAAAACACTCGTACATCTTTCTTCAGTATTACAGGGGGCAAACAGCAGCTACGCTTTAGAGTACCTTGTTCAACACAACGCGGCGCATCTAAAGAGCGAAACTCGTACCGAGATCTCTCAGTACACTGAATTCTGCATTAAACTGAGAACTGATATCGGCCTTATATTATAGTTTTCCTCCGGCCGACACAAAATTTCCAGTAGCTTCGAATTTCTCAAAATTGTTGGAAGGCATATGCAGTTACAATTACATATAGGTGTCAGACCAATTACAGTCACACAGGAATTGGACCACAGTGTCGCCAAAACCATTGCCAGCTTGGCGCTATCTCGCATATTTGGCGAAATAGCCATTTACTTCAATGATAAATGGTAACCTAATTCTTCCGGCGCAGCTTAGCATCTCTTGTTACAATTATTTTCTTCTTAGAGGTACACGATTAAAAAAATTTGAAGATCGTTGTCCTAGTAAACACTGACAGACTTCAGTATTGTCACGCAACCAAACTGTAAATAATTACACTTATTAAAAGTGAAAAATATTTACACTTTTATGAATTTTTTGTATTGTTACTAAATTACGATTCTAAAGTAATATAACTTCATGAAAATTTTAATTACATATTTTTGACTTTGGAAATTTATAAATTATTTGTGTGAAAATTCATTCGGGGTACCAAATGTAACAAAATTATAAATTAAAGACACTAGTAAATCACAAGAGAATAAATATCATTGATTGAAAAATCAATCTCGGATTATTCTAGTTTATTTGTTAACCGGTCCCTCAGTGCAAATTCAAAATGATGTCAAATATTGCAAATTTTGAAATTAAATATCTCGGTCAATTATTTTTGTACGGGAGTCAAGCCTTTTGTGTTTTATTTTTTATAACGGATAAAAAATTTTCCTGAATATAAGCAAAGGGACCGGTTGAAAGTGTAGTAAGTTAAATGTCGTATTTTATACATAACTAGTTTAAAAAAAATTAAAATATAATAAGAAATTAGAAAGGTTTCAGATTTTAAAGGCCGCCTAGAAAGGTTGGTTAGTTTTTTTTACGCTCTCGCTAAGCTCGCAGTCTGCTGTTGCACTCACTCCTGCTAACCCATTTGTTTTGCCTTTTTAGCTTCATTATTAAGTACAATTTTCTTTATACTTACGTTGTTTATGTGAGTATCGTTTGCTTCATTTTATTGTTGCAAACAGCGTAAATTCCTTTTGTTTTTCTTCTTTTAGTTTTGAACTTTATGTGTGGCAACAAGATTATTGATTGATAGAATTGTGTTTTGTGACAGCCATGTAGAAGGGCTCGCTTATTTTGTATCAATTATTTCGCATCGCTGACAAGTGTAATAAAATAAAAGTGTAGGAATACAGTCCATTTGTTGATTGATTATTGTTTGTGAAACATATTAATTTTAAGAACAGTTGTTGTTGGTCCGTCGAGCCGGAGTTGGCTTTCACCTGGTACATCGATTGAATTTTCACTGATTGCCGCGTGACGCGGACAACACACATCAGCATTCGAAGGTTACTACTGAACAGCCTTCGTATTGAATTATATCTGGTAGACAAGCGTTAATCAAGTGGTCTGCTGAGTCAGCGACATACGTCATATACAATTCAACAGCAAAATCGCAAACACTTTATTTAATTTAACAAAATTTAGAATTCTCAGTGCATTGTTAAAGTGTTGGCATACATTCTTTTAATTTATTTTCACTTTCTTAGTTTTTCATATCAGTGTTCAGTTTTCTTAGTAAGATGGCTAGCAAAAATGCTTTTTATTATTAACGTTTTTGTGTTACATTGATTTATTAAATATCGCGATTTTCGCACTGACGCCACATAAAATTCAGCGAAGTCACCAGATAGTTAAAAATAACATATCTTTAGAGTTTTCGATAGACAGTCTCGCACGCTGGAGATAAAATGGTTTTATCTCGTACAGTCCTGCCACTGCTCTCTTTCAAATCGTTGAATTTTTTAATCAAAATTTTATTAAGTTTTACAAAATCTGAAACGGATAATAAAATAAATTTGAAATTCGTCCTTCCAGGTGCCTATGTTCGGGTAGGACAACGTTATGCAAAATTTGATGGCTATAGGTACCGTCGTTTTTTCACATTGCGAAAAACATTCATACATTCATTTAGATTCTTTATTATTTAATATCATTTAAAATAATGCAGAGCAAGAATATTTGATGACAACAATTTGGAAAGTGATACACTTTTTTATAGAGATTCAACGCAAAATCCCATTTCGAGCCTAGCTTATTTGACCTAACGCTGCTTTTGGGCTGAAGATATAAATCTTTGCTTCATTTTAAAATATTTTTATAACTGGAAGTATATGTCTACATTCAGAGGTTGCAAAAATAAAGGCCGAGTGCAAAATATGCAAATGTTTTATTTGTTTGGTAACATCAAATTAATTTGTAATTGAACATGCTATGTCGTGTGTGGCGTAATGTGTAACTACACTAATAAAGACAGTCATTAAAAAAGGAAAACCAGACGAAAGAAGTAAACAAAATTTACTCACTTTCAAGAAATATTAACAGCATATTAAAATACAATAATTTCGTTTCTGCATTACTTTTTCTGTACCGAAAATGTCATCATGGTATAGTAATTGGAGACCAAAAACCACGAGGAGGTTTAAAAGACACTTTGAATTGGAATACTTAGCACTTTTCCTTCAGATTGATTAGAGAACATACAAGAATGATTAGAGGACAAATACTGGAAAAGACACCTTGAAGTCAAGCCATAACTATGATTAATTGTGCGTTGGGTCATTTATCGTTAACTAAGCATCTTTGGCCAGAACATCGTTGCCATGCCTTTGTTAACTCAAGCTTTAGATGCTTCATAGTACTTTATCTGAAGTGGATGCAATTATCTGTTCTGGTTCTCTAGTCATTTCATTTTCAGAGCGACTTATTGTCATTCTAAACACATTTTTTATATTATGGCGTATTTAAATTTAATTCCTTAATATTGTGTGGATAGGTGTAATATCCTTAGACTTAATTTCCTTTAATTTACTTTTTTAACACTTTTTAATTTACTTTTTTAATACTAATTACTCTTTGTTTTATATAAAATGTGCAGCTTATACTTGTTTAATACTACGTTATTACAGTAACAGAACTTTCATATAGAACTTTTGTGCATTCTGTTCAAAATACCAGTTCGAATTATTAAAAAAGGGAACAATAATGTCCTTTTTTAATTTTAAGGATATTACTGATATAAAAGTTTTTTTAATGCTTTTTGTAATGCAATTAATGAATAGAAATTTCCAAGCATACTGCATATTTTGAAATTTTCTTGCGTAGTACGTATTTTAAACATTATTAATTTTTAGGTGCAAAATAGGATAGTTGTCAATCAATAGGATAACTGTCAATTGACTCCTAGTCAGTCTACCTTCTGTATAAATAAACTGTTATTAAGTCTACTTTCTATATAAATAAACTGTTATTAAGTCTACTTTCTGTATAAATAAACTGTTATTCAGTCTACCTTCTGCATAAATAAGCTGTTACAAAACAATTGTAGTGCATATAAATGAAATTAGAAAGAAGTATCAAGGAAAGAAATTTAAGGTAAACAAATTGAAAATAAAATTTTAAAATTTTCTGCAGAAATATTTTTTATTAATTTTACAAAATAAAAAGTTTATTTCATATAAAAAGTTATTTACAAAACTAAACTTTAATACAGTATTAGAATACACAAACTCTTAATCTGAAAATTACATTTTAAGTTATCAAGCGTAGATAATTTTAACTGTAAGAAGTGATTAATAATCAGCGAACGCAAAAGTTATTGAAAGTTATTTGCAATAATGCTCATTTTTTTTATCTTCCACTTTGACATACTTTTATTTTATTTCATTGCTTTGTTCAGTACCTTTATTAATCTGAGTTTTTATATCTAGTGTGGTACTTCTGTGTCTAAACTGAAGTGGCAATAAGAAAACAGATGATCATTTCAATGAATATGTGAAAAAGAAAACTGCAAAGATGAATTAGGAAAAATGTGTTATATAACTTTTATTATGCTTCTGATATTGCCATGCAAAACATGTTACTCACTTGTTTTTATTTTAGTTTAAAATACCTTAATTTAATTATTTTTTTCATTCCTCCGCTTAAGATATTTTTTATTCCTGAGTCGGGTTCCATTTGATAAGAATGTTATAGCCTAGTACAATATGTAATTCTGAGTTTGTTAAATGTTCTAAAAATTATACACTAACTGTAGCTTTTCAAATTAATATGAATAATTCTGCTCCGCGTCAGGGTCAAATCGTAACCTTCGAGATCAATTAATCAGTCCTCATTTAAGTTTTGTTTTCATTTCAAAGCAGTCCTCTCCAGAAGATGTAACTTTGCTGCGTAGTTTAGAGAAGGAGGAAACATCGAAGAATCAAAATCAAACAATCAAAATTGACAAGCAAGCACGCTTTTTTGTTGTGTTCTCTTTCTGAAAGTGCTCGTACCTTGTGGTTATCCTTACTGAAAAAGAAGCAGTTTGCTTGTTTAGATATAGAGTAAGTGCTTGCAAGTAATAAACTTGATTAAACTGCTTCTGGTAAGTAGAACTCAAGTTGGTCGAAATATTAAACTAAGACTTTCGACTTAGGCTGTTTGATTCATGGCTTATCATCCTGAGGTAATTTTTGATAATACAAATAATATAAGCCTGAGTTTGGGTCTTGCAAGTTACGGTAAATTTTGAGTTACATCTTTTCTTAGATTTGTAATTTTAAGAGCCGTGAAAGAAAAAAAAAGTTGTTGTTAAGTTGACGTTTACTGGTAGTCAAAGAAAAATTACAGTATAGACAAAACCCGCCAATGATTGACACAGTCTCTTCAGTAAATTAAAAGTTATTCGATTCGGCAAACTTGACAACTCGCATCAAAGAAACGTGCTTTTATAAAGCTAATTCAATTAAGAGTAAATGACAATGCTCAACATTTTACATGAGGATCCAAAATGTTATCCAAAATTAGCTTAACTACACGTAGCATCCGAGCTAGAAGCAACATTTTGGATCCTCATGTAAAATGTTGCTTCTAGCTCGGATGCTACGTGTAGTTAAGCTAATTAGGAGAAAGGTTAAGGATGACCAGATAATGTACATTTACTGGGGTCTGACTCCAAGCAAAACTCTAGAAACCTCTGTTGCTGACTCGGAGTTGTAGAACTGTTTTTGAACTTGCTGCATTTTTTTAACAATTCACAACTAAAAGATTTTGAAAAAAATTAGAATCTAACAATACGACTTCATAGCAAATCAAGCCACAAGTATACGTAGAAATGCTTTAAGTTAAATTACACGTAGGATTTGCTATAAAAAAAATTTATTTAAGGAAACTGTGTAAGAAAATGTTTAAGAACAGTTCAAGATAACATGTAAAACTAAGAGGTTAGGTTGCAGTTTAGTAAACCATTTAAATATCAGGATAATTTAAGTCTGTCGTATCAGTTGTTTAATTATTATCCGTCATCGCATGACACCAATTTACAATGAATCATAGTTATGACGTAAAATGTTCATTTATCTCAAAATTTATGCTACATTCTTGTTAGAGACACTTCAGATGTCACACACAGAAATTATTATTCGTATTTCTCTACAAAAGATTAAATACATCTACTAGCACAAATCTTAAGGCTAGTATAAGAATTGAATCAGTATAATACCTCTGCTGAACAATAGTTATTACGTTTCATATTACTTTAATCGAAACGAGCAGAAACTTTGAAAATGGAATGTTTCTACTCGTTTTCATATATAGATAACCATTTAAAGATTTTGTTTTTCAAAATATGCAACTTTGATTGCGTTTAATAGACTGAAGCAAGCACGGAAAAACAACGAACAAAGAGAATAACATTCATTATAAAACATTAGAGTCTTAGTAACGGTGTTACTTAAAAAAATCACAAAATTAATTCAAATTTTCTTTAAAATAATACACAAAGCGTATAATATGAGAATTAACATTCGAGTGGCTTAAATAACAGCTGTAGATATTTATACATTTTATTTTTGAAAATTGTTTACGATTTTTATAGTTCTAAATTTTACAGTAAAATATTCAATAACTCTAATAACACATCACTAAAATACAAGTAAAAAGAAAGTGGTTGAAAG